TTCAAATTGTGACACTAGTTATATACCAGTAACAAAGATAGAAACCAGTCATGTTGAGCACTTGTAATTCTAGCAGTCAAATGTGACTTGAGTACTACAATGTAATACAGCTTTTCCTTTCCTAAACTGTGTATACATTTTTTGGCACCCTGTGTGTGTACCTAATCATTATTATATCTAATACACATGTAGAGATAGTGATAGGATAATAGAGATAGAAATAGTTGACCCTTGAACTACATAGGGGTTAGGAGCACCAACCCCATACAATTAGAAATCCACATTTAACTTTTAATTTCCCAGAACTTAACTACTAATAGCCTGGTGTTGACCAAAAGTCTCACTGATAACAAAAAAAGCTGATGAATACATGTTTGTTTATGTATTACATATACTGTATTCTTACAATAAAGTAGAGAAATAAAATATTAATAAAACCATAAGGAAGAGAAAATGTACCGTAGAACCTCCATAGTTGACCACCTCCTTAAGTTGACCTAATTTTCACAGACCGGACATGCACCACATGTACATATCAGAGCAGTAGGGCTAGTTCCCTATGGTGCCTCCATATGTTAACCAGTTTGTTACAGTCCCATGGCTGGTCAACTTACAGAGGTTCTACTGTATTTACTACTTATTCCATGGAAGTGGATCATCATAAAGGTGTTCTTCCTCTTATTCTTCACACTAAGTAGGCTGAGGAGGAAGAGAGAAAGGAGAGGTTGGTTTTGTCTCTAGGGCACATAGAGGTGAAAGAGCTGTAGGAGGTGGAAGGGGAGGCAGGAGAGGTAGGCACACTTGGAGTGATTTTTACTGGAAAAATCCATAGATAAATAGAGTTGTGCAATTCAAATCCACATTGCTCAAGGATCACCTGTACATACACAAACACACACATACACACGCACACACACACACACTCAGGGTAACCCTGCAAACTGGAGACCCAGAGAGGAACTGATGCTGGTACTTTGAGTACAGAAGCAGTCTGCGGGCAGAATTTCTTTGAGGAGGATTTGTCTTTTCCTTTTTTCTCTTTTAGTATTTTTTATTGCTGGAGATTCATTGAGGGTACAATAAACCAGGTTATACTGATTGCATTTGTTAAGTAAAGTCCCTCTTATACTTGTGTTTTGCCCCCAAAAGTTGTGTCACACACTGAGACCCCCAACCCCTCCTTCCTTCTCTTTACCACCCCCCTTCCTCATTCCCTCTCTCTGCTCTTCCTTTCCCCCACCACCCTCCCTCCTTCTCTCTCTCTCTGCTCTCCCCTTTCCCCATCCCCCACCTTGTACTACGTCATTAATTGTCCTCATATCAAAATTGAATACATAGAATTCATGCTTCTACATTCTTGAGATGCTTTACTAAGAATAATGAGTTCCACTTCCATCCAGGTTAATACAAAGGCTGTAAAGCCTCCATCTTTTTTAATGACTGAATAGTGTTCCATGATATACATATACCATAGCTTGTTAATCCATTCTTGGGCTGGTGGGCATTTAGGCTGTTTCCACATTTTGGTGATTGTAACTTGAGCTGCAATAAACAGTCTAGTGCAAGTGTCCTTATGGTAAAGGGATTATTTTTCCTTCTGGGTAGATTCCCAGTAATGGGACTGCAGGATCAAATGGGAGGTCAAACTTGAGTACTTTGAGGGTTCTCCATACTTCCTTCCAAACAGGTTGTATTAGTTTTCAGTCCCATTAGCAGTGTAAAAGTATTCCTTTCTTTCCACATTCATGCCAGCATCTGCAGTTTTGAGATTTTGTGATGTGGGCCATTCTCGCTGGGGTTAGATGATATCTCAGGGTGGTTTTGATTTGCATTTCTCTAACATTTAGGGATGCTGAGCATTTTTTCATATGTTTGCTAGTCATTCCTCTGTCTTCTTTAGAGAAGGTTCTATTCATTTCTCTTGCCCATTGATATATGGGATTGTTGACTTTTTTCATGTGGATTAATTTGAATTTTCTATAGATCCTAGTTATCAAACTTTTGTCTGATTCAAAATATGAAAATATCCTTTCCCATTGTGTAAGTTGTCTATTTGCTTTCGTTATTGTCTCCATAGCTGTACAGAAGCTTTTCAGCTTAATTAAGTCCCATTTGTTTATTTGTGTTGTTGTTGCAATTGCCATGGAAGTCTTCTTCATAAAGTCTTTCCCCAGGCTAATATCTTCAAGTGTTTTTCCTATGCTTTCTTTGCGGATTTTTATGATTTCATGCCTTAAATGTAGGTCTTTTATCCATCTCGAATCAATTTTTGTGAGTGGAGAAATGTGCGGATCCAGTTTCAGTCTTTTACATGTGGATATCCAGTTCTCCCAGCACCATTTATGGAATAGGGATTCTTTCCCCCAGTGTATGTTCTTTTGGTTTATTGAAGATTAGATGACTGTAAGATGTTAGTTTCATTTCTTGATTTTCTATTCAATTCCAAATGTCTGTGGCTCTATTTTTGTGCCAGTATCATGTTGTTTTGATGACTATGGCCTTGTAGTACAGCCTAAAATCTGGTACACTGATGCCCCCAGCTTTGTTTTTATTACTAAGAACTGCCTTATCTATATGGTTTTTTTTTTTTTTCTGGTTCCATACAAAATGAAGAATTATTTTTTTCTAAGTCTTGAAAGTATGGTGTTGGTATTTTTATAGTGATGGCATTGAATCTATAGATTGCTTTGGGAAGAATGTTGATTCTTCCCAGCCATGAACATGGTATGTTCTTCCATTTGTTAATATTCTCTGCTATTTCTTTTCTTAGGGTTTCATAATTTTCTTTATAGACGTCCTTCACCTCTTTTGTTAGGTATATTCCTACATATTTTGTTTTCTTTGAAGTGATGGTGAAGGGAGTTGTGTCCTTACTTAGCCTCTCATTTTGGCTGTTATTGGTATATACAAAGGCTACTGACTTGTGGATGTTGATTTTATATCCTGAGACATTACTGTATTTTTTGATGACTTCCAGGAGTCTTGTGGTTGAATCTTTGGGGTTCTCTAAGTATAAGATCATATTGTCAGCAAAGAGGGAGAGTTTGACCTCCTCTGTTCCCATTTGGATGCCCTTTATTTCCTTGTCTTGCCTAATTGTATTGGCTAGAACTTCCAGCACCATGTTGAATAGTAGTGGCAGTAGAGGACAACCTTGTCTGGTTCCAATTCTAGGTGGAAAAGCTTTCAGTTTTATTCCATTCAGTATAATATTAGCTGTGGGTTTGTTGCACCTGGCTTCAATCAGTTTAAGAAATATGCCACCTATGCCTATACTCTTCTATATTCTAATTAGAAAAGGATGCTGAATTTTATCGCATGCTTTTTCTGCAACTATTGAGAGGGTTCTGTTGATACAGTGAATAATATTTATGGACTTGAATATGTTAAACCAGCATGCATCCCTGGGATGAAGCCTACTTGATCATGATGTATGACTTTTCTAATGATAAGCTGTAATCTATTGGCTAGGATTTTGTTGAGAATTTTTGCATCTATATTCATTATTGTAATTGGTCTGAAGTTCTCCTTTTTAGTTGGGTCTTTTCCTGGTTTTGGTATGGGGTGATGTTTGCCTCATAGAACATGTTGGGGAAGATTCCTTCCCCCTCAATTTTTTGGAATAATTTCTGCAGTATGGGAATAAGCTCTTCTTTGAAGGTTTGATAGAATTCTGGTGTGATGCGATCTCATACAAAAAACATAAAGAGAGTACATCAACTAACTCACAAGCCATCTTATGGAGTTGGAAAGAGAAGAACAATCTAAGCCTAAACCCAGCAGAAGAAAAGAAATATCTGAAATAAAATCAGAGATTAATGAAATTAAAAACAAAAGAATCATTCACAAAATTAATGAAAGAAGGAGTTGGTTTTTGAAAAAATAAATAAAACAGATAAATGTTGGGCCATACTAACTAGAAATAGAAAAGTAAAATCTCTATCACAAATGATAAAGGGGAAATAGCAACAGATGCCACAGAGATACAAGAGCTTGTCTCTGAATACTACAAGAAACTCTATGCCCAGAAATTTGACAATGTGAAGAAAATGGATCAATATTTAGAATCACACTCTCTCCCTAGACTTAGCTGGGAAGAAATAGATCTCCTGAATAGACAAATTTCAAGCACTGAGATCAAAGAAACAATAAAAACCTCCCAACAAAAAAATGCCCTGGATTAGTCTAATTTTCTATTATGGCCCTTCAATATGGAAGGTAATCTGTTCTACTCAAAGTCTACTGATTTAAATATTGATCTTATATTAAAAATACCTTCACAGAAATATCTAGATAACATCTGACCAAAAATTTGGGTACAATGGCTCAGCCAAGTTGACATATATAATTAACCATCATAGAGAGCAAGGTGGACATCTGCTTGTGGGGAATCCTGGCTTGGGCATCAAAGTCTGACTTGGGTGAGGGAGATAGCCATGTAGGGGAAGCAAGACAGACATCTGATATGACATGCTGGAAGCTGAGTAGGGTGAAAGGGTACCTGGGTTGGAGAGCAGCCATGTACATAGTGTTGGCTCTGAGTGGAGTGAAGGAGACACCTACAAGGTGAGAGCTCCATTGCCAGTTCCCACTGCCTCAACTACCTTAGCTTTATAGGACTTAATATCCAGCAGTAGGCTTCTCTACATTCATTCTTCCTCAATATTGTTTTTGTAATTCTTGAACTTTTGCATTTCAATGTGAAGGCTAAAATAAGCTTGTCAATTTCCACACTTAAAATAATACTAGGATTTTGTTTGACTGAACTCATAGTTAAATTTTTTGGAGAACCAATACCCTTATAATATCAAGTCTTTCACTAATGAGCATGATATAGGTATTAATTTCTTTAAATAATATTTTATAGTTTGGACACCTGTTATAAGATTTACTCCTTGCATTTCAATGGTTTTTTTTAATACTACACTGATTAAATAGTAATACTACTTATTATTAGTGTAGCATGCTTTACTAATATTATTTTCTAATTGCTACTGATTTAGGAAAAACTACATTTGATTTCATATAATGCCCTTGTATCCAGTTAACTTCTTAAAATTAACTCGTTAATTTTGCCAGTTTATATGTAGTGACATTACAAAATGTCACTGACATGTTAATATTTATTTTCTTATCTTCACAAATTTTGATTCTTTTCTTTTCTACCATTTCCCTAGCTAAGCCATCCAGTATAGTGTTGTATAGAAATGTTAGGACAAGACTTTATCTTCTCACTCCTGACATCAATGGGAAATTTTTTAACATTTCCCACTCAACTATGTTTGCCATAAGTTTTTTTTAAAATTATGATTGTGTCCTGAACTATATCACATGGAATTTGTTGTGATTTTTTCCCATTCTAAGTAAATATTTACTTTTTAACTCCTTTTTGTATTTATTTGGAATTTGGAATTTTTTATATAGACCTTCCCTTCAAATTTTATAAGCTTAAAACTTTGCAACACTTAGCTCAACCCTGCTGGTGGCAGATGTCCAGCATTCCATGGCATAGCAGCCTCCAGATCACCCGCCTTCCCTGTGTCATCTTTTATCCCTATGCTTATGGCCTCCTGGTTATAAGATGGCTGCTGCTCTCTGAGTTACAGAACAACAAATAAAAATACTAATTCAAACATTGTTGACATGTTACTATATAATCAGAGTTTTTGCACAAACTTTCAAGGCAAGTCTTGGTGGGAAATGACAACAATCCAGTTCTTATTGAGGGACTAAAAGAAGCAAATAAAAGAATGTGCTCTTTGCTGCTAGCTGCAGGCACAATGGTTATAGTTTAGGGCAAGGCCAATGAACCTTGCTAATTGGAAAGGAATTTCTCCCTGAAATAAAATGATAAAGCTTTCTGAAAAGACTTTTTTCTTCTTCCTTTCTGAACTGTGAAGGTTAGGCTTCAGGGAGCAGTGGCCATCTTGTAATCAAGAGGCAACAAGCCCAGGCATGAAAGACAACACAGGAAGTGCTCTGAGGAGGGTAGACCAAGTGCTCAGAATAAGAACTGATCTCCTCAGGCCTCATGGACACCAACCACAGAGGTTATGAGGGGTCCCAATGCACTCCAACACCCGTTTTGTCTGACCTGCTTTCTCCTACCGAGAAGTGTCCAGAGAGAAGCCAATGCTCAGTAAAATGCCATCTCCCCCAAGGAGGGACAACAGTGAACCCAAAGTCCTATTTCAAACAGGGCCTATAATTTTCAATTGAGGAGTTCAACTGGGTGAATTGTCCTCAGAATAAGACTCAGCTTTCTCTAATCATCTCAACCCTATCAGATGGGGTCTAGAAGTGGCCACAAGTGTTCAAGTAAGTTTCAGCTTATCCAATTCACCCCCCTGACAAGGAGTCACCAGGGAGCCAAGTCCTCACCTCTCCTAATTTTGACACCCACAGTTTTACTGATGCTGTCTGCCTTGTATCCATCAGAACTAATCTCATTCTGTCCTTTGCTCTTGTTTGTCAGTCACCCAAAACACCCTAGAATTGCGAGTTATCTCTCATTCTCCTTCTTCTAATTTCTGCACACCACTTAGTCTCTGTTTTTTCTCTCAGGCTCTGATTCATAAATGAGTGTACTCCTCACCATTGCACACTCAGCAAAATCTGCTTCCCTGAGACCTTCTCATGCAGAAGCTGCTATGACATGACCCTATACCACACTGCTGCTGGCATACCTACCCAAGTTACAGTCTCCTTTTCCAGTGATGTTAGCTCCTCCCTCATGCTTCAAGTCTACCTTTTGTCTTAAATCTTGGTTACATTTAACACACCCAGAGATAAAGTCCCAAACTTCAGGAGCTTAAAACTTTACTCTTAATCCCTCCCCCCAAACCCATTCTACCCAGTCTTTCTCATCTCAGTTGCTTTCTTTTTCTATTACACATCCAATCATTCAGTAAATCATATTGGCTTGTAAAATAATCTGTACAAAATCTTCAATTATCTGCCTTGTTCCTATCCAGCTACCAACTCATACTCTCTGAACTGGCAACACAGAGTTCCCTTCTTACATTCCAGGCAGCTTCTAAGCACATGCTGGATTACAGCTTCCTCCACTCTGCTCTAGTCCTGGGGACACTCTCATCCTCTTCATGTTGCACAAAAATAATTACAGCATTTCCCCATCATTCCTGCCTGCGCTTCACCATTATTTGTGTGTATTGACTATCATTTCAACAGAAGGGAGAATAAGTAGGAGACAAAGCAGAAATGCATCTTTTCATTTACTCTCTTGTACCAGAAGCCCTATATTGTCCGTAAGGCCTCTGGTACTCGAAAATCCTTTTACTCATTGATTTTATTCATATTTACAAAATAATAATGTGAGTAGATTAGGCTTAGTTTTTAATATGTATCTGGAACTTTATTAACTTCAGTTCAAAACAGAAGCTACTTTTTTTTATAAGTTTCATTTTCTAAGATTATTTTTGGAAAAGTATTGTTTGTGTTCTAACTTAGGACACAGCAGGTGGCATAACTAACTATTGTCATCCTGAATCTGGGAATGGGTTTTGTTTTGTTTTTTGTTTGTTTTTTCTTTTCTTTTCTTTTTTTTTTTTGACAAAATCTTACACTACACACAGCCATTAAGGACCAAAGTTTTTCTAATATTGTCCTTTCATGTTTTGACTCAGATTCTTGTTTTTAAGAAAGAGTTTTGTCACCAGATTTGAACTCCTAAAAAAAAAAAAAAATCCAACAATCTTTGCTGCATGATTTTTAATAGGCTGATTAAAGTTTGTCAGTACTCTGAACAAAATAACCAAAAATATTACATGAGTAATAAAGGAGAGAAAGAATCAAAAGCAAGCAACAGCATATTAATGAGTAATCTATTATAAAAAGAATTGTGTCCAGAATGGGAAGAGTGAGCTAAGGAAAAATTCCTAAATACAATAAAATAGAGACATTTTTCACATGGAAGTGATAAATTCAAAAAAAATATGTAAATGTTCACATAAGCAGGATGAGAATTTCAGTCTCTTCATAATCCTAATAACAAAGCACAAACTCAGTGGAATTAAATCAACTTTCATTACAGATAATTTGTAGGACTATTTAGAAAAGGAAATGTGGGCCCTTACTTTTTGTGAGCTCAAAGAGAAATTGCTATTTTAACATAAATATAAAGCTGGATCTAACATCTGGTTTAGTGGTTTGTTAGAAATGTCTCTCCTAGGAGAATCTCAAATGCTTTGAAACCTTGGAGATACCAGTAGTGAATATTTTTATCTGGAGTGGAAAACAATTTTTAAAGTTTACCTGCAGTACCACTATTGATTTTCAAGACAAACAATTTGGGTAGTGAATTCTCCAGTTCTGAAAAGGATGATAGACTAGGACATTACAATTTAGTTTTAAATTCATTGTCATTTGAAAACTTGGAGTTCTGGTGCACATCTTTGCACTCATTTTCCTTCCCTGTGACCTTTGTTTCTGCAAGTTCAGTTCCCGGAGAGGCATTTTCACCAGGTAGATGACGCTTCCTCAAAAGAATTAGGATTAAAAAGGCTGGAATAAAGCTTGAGCCTCTCAGTGCTGCTGGCAATCCAAGGTAGATGTATCTGTTCAAAAATATATTAAAATACATTAAATCTTGCATAGACAGTAAACTAATTTTATATACTTTTGTTATATTATATTCCCATAAGCTAATAGCCACTTCCTGTATTGCATGTTGATCTTATATCAGCCACTTTGCTGAACTCTCTTATTAACTCCAATGTTTGTTAAAATATTTGGGTTTCTTTTTATTTTCCACTGAGAAAATCCAAATTAATTTTCACCTTTTCTAATCTTTTGTTAGTGTTTTTAACAACAAGTATTCCTGTCACTTGACAGAGAAAATGTTAGATATGAATGGTGCCATTTTCTGCACAGTCTATGTTTATAGAACAATGCTCAAAAAAAAATTACTATCTTTACCTGAAGTTGGTGGAATCATATATCCTGCATGCTCCTGGCTTACCACATTTCAAAGTTCCCCAATGTAAACATGTGGAGTCCACCAAAGCACCAAAATATATAGGTGCAGGGATGCCAGCTAAAAGTAAGAGAGAAAGAAAAATCTATTAACAGTGTCAGAATTAATATTACATTGTCTTATTTGGAAATATTTCCATTTTCTCTATTTGTACAACAAAGTTTGAGAAAATATAAATCTGATGCTCTGAATTTTGTGTTTAAGAATTATGTTACATTTACAGTAAATTCTTATATTATAAAAGAGAAGTAATCTGAAGGATAAAATGCAACTACTTAGACCTAAAGATTCTGAAGTTTATATATTTCCTAAAATGTTTCTGGCCAATCACATGTACATTTTAACAAAGCATTTCCTGTTATATTTTTTTATTAATTCTTCTAATAGACAAAAAAGTGTAATTAAGGTCAGACAGGACCTATTCAAATCAAATAAATTTTCCATCTCTTCATATACTTCTTGCCTTAATTACAAAGCAATGTTTACAAACGAGATATTTGCTAGACTATTCTTCTGGAAGAACGATCTCATTTACTGAGCATTTAATGTAGGTTGAGAAAAATAGCTATTTTTACCAAATACTCGTGTGCAAAATGCATGTACTCCCACACCAAGAGATTTCTCTTCAGACTTGATACACCTAGTAAAAGAAAAATAAAGATTTTAAAACTACCATAGTTTCTTGAAAGGACTGTTTGCATGCTAGTAACATAGGAAGCACTCAAAAATTTCCTTGCATGCTTAGTTCTTAGTTATTCAGGGCCTGATTATCCAGCTTACAGCCTACTCAGGGCCCCCATTTCTGGTGACTGGCATTTTACCCATTACTTTTTGCTTATTCATTTCTATCAGAAAGTTAGGAAAGGAGGAAATATATCAAATCATCCCAATTCTGTCCCAGTCTCCTCCTATTGACAACAGTTTTGATCATCATGGGTAAACTTTAAGCCTAAAAAACAAGAAGAACCCAGCCCTAGCTTTATTCAGATTATTTCTATTAACAAAAATGTAGAAAAGCTAAGGATTTACATGAGTGAATTTTAAAAAGAAAGTGATGAAAATGTCCTAAGCTAATCTATTTTAAGTGGTTTGGCTTCAAGAGTTGCACAGAGCTTCTTCCATTCTGTCAAAAACTCCTCCATCTTTTCACAGTTGTCTAAAACTCCTATGACAGAACATAATAGCTCAATGGTGCTTTGTGGTGTCCCACCCACTTCAGCATCAGCATAGCGACCTGCTCAAAAAATTCACCTTAAGAACACCACTGAGCTCTCTTCCCTTCCCTGATGAACTCAAAGCTGGAAAAATAACAGTGGTCTTCTACACAAGAGGAAAAGGATTTAGCACATTTTCAGGGAATACTACATTTTATTGGTATTTTCTTGGAACAGAATTTTATTGGATAGAATAATTCTACAATCTCATAAAATTAGAGTTGCTCCAGATACTATCTATCTCATGGCAAGGTTATTTAGCCAACATCAACAATTTCACTAAGAAGAAAATATAAAAGCACAACTATCTTGGTCACTAATATCCTTTTTCTTGAATTTTGAGTTTGGAATGACTACAAGCACATAAAAGATGTGTATATTTCATAGCACAACAAAGCTACTATAATCAATCTGATTTCCTTTCACTACAGAAAATAGGGCATTTAAATTTTTGTTTCTCTTCTACCTTTAACATAGAACTTTACAATCTCACGGGAGCATGAGATCCTAATAGCTCATGACTTATAAGCAGTTTACATTGTCCTCCAACATTTATCATTACCTGGTACTGATAAGAACATCAATTTCCAGAACTCAGGAATGAAAAAGAAAACCTAGAATGTAAGTTACGAAGAAAAAGCTGAGACAAATTCAGCATATTTTAAAAATAGCAAGCAAGCATAGATATTGCATCCCTTAACCACTGTGGTAGGATATCCAGGAAAATTCCACAATAATAGAGAAAAGTCTTTAGTATATCTATCAAAATCCAGGTGCTACCCTCTACGATATGATCTTGGCAAGAAACAGGGAAAAGAATAGAGATGTGAAGAGAATTGAGAGCATAATGAACTATTTGTCTTGTTAGGGAGTAGATATCAATCCTGAAAAGGTTTTAAATTGATAAGCAAGACATAAATGTAGTTAAAAATCTCAATAAGTAGGTTAACCACTTAAAAAAATAAAGTTTTCAGAGGAGCAAAAGAAAATCCAATCTATAGAATGGAAAATTTAAAAAGTGTACAAAAAGTCCTACCACAATAATTACAAGAAGTACAGTAAATACAAACAGGTTAAGCACATCAATCTCAGGTTAGAAAATCTGATCTAGCAAGTTGACTATGAAAGGAGGTGGAAGACTAAAGATAAAAGGAAGGCAAAGATATGATGTGCATGTTAATTGATAAAGGGTCCCCCCCATCAGGGATGGATGGGGACCCCATTTTCTTGACTTGGGTGAGCTCAGAAATCAGTCTCATCACAGACCCCATCTCTAGGAGCAAACAGGCCTTTTCCAGGCTGCATTCTCTGGATTCAAGCAAAGTCACAAAAAAAAAAAAAAAAAAAAAAATCCTGATCAGTATCTCATCTGCGAGGTTCCTCTTGGAGTACAGAGCATATACCCTACTTCCCCACCTGGAACAGAAACTGCAAGGACCAAATTCCTTTAATAATCTTAGGATTATTTTTGCCTGCAGGCTCCTGGCCAATTTTGACATGTTCCAGATATATATTCCCCAAAGCCTCTGCACAGATAGGAAAAGTAGTATATAAACCCCTAGTCAGAAGGTCCACATGGGCTTCACACTTGGGGTCCCTCCTCCATTGCTGTCTCTTTCACTTATCTGTCTCTTTTATCTTCAGTGAACTTTTTGCTTACTCAGGTGGTAAGCAATTTCATTCTTCAAACCTCAAGATCAAGGACCCAACACTGAGAATACCCAACTAGATGATGAGCCACAAGAAAGTTAGAATTGCAACTCCAGTAAGAAACAAACAGGAATTCCCTAAAAGAAAATACTATCAGATAAAGAATAACAGTGAGTGTTGGTAATAATAGAAATATAATAATCAAAACAAATGATTTAAGTGTTCATCTCATATAGTTGACTAAAGAACAGCCAAATCAAGCCCAAAAGGAACAAAAAAACCTATGATACAAAACAGAAATTCATGACATGAAGATGAACAAGACCAAAAACTTGGTCCTTAAAAAGGAAAAATAATATAGACAACACTCTAATCAAGTTGACCAGGTTAAAAAAAGATATAAATAAACAAAATACAGAAAACAAAAAGTTAAAATACTTCAGATAAAAGAGTATTGTAAACACTTACATAAGCTATTCACACTAGCAAGTATACAACAGGTGTAAGTCAAAATCCAAAATGTGAGTAGATAACAACATTTACTAAGTAAATGAAAATAATGAGCAAATACCACTTCAAAATAAGCCCAAAGTACAAATGCTTTTACAGGTCAAAGTACAAATGGATGCTTTATGCAAATAGCTTTAGAAACTAAAAAATAGAACATTTACCAATCTATTCTGTGGTACTAATGAGAAGCCAAAACAGAAAAAAAGTATAGAAAATAATAGAGATGTTTTACTTATCACCATAGATGTTATGATTTTAAATAAAATATTTTTAAATGAATCAAATCATGCATTAAAATATGTGATTGTGAGGTTTTTTTCAGACACGAAAATAAAGTTCAACATTAAAAAACCTGTTACTGGGGTGGTGCCTGTGGCTCAAAAGAGTAGGGCACAGTCCCATATGGTGGAGGTGGTGGGTTCAAACCCAGCCTCAGCCAAAAAATAAAAAAAACCTGTTACTTTATTTTAGTATGCTAAAATTTTCTGACCATAAAAATTACATACAATTGTTTTCAGATATATAAAAATATATCTAATAAAGTTTAATAACAACTTTATTACTAAAAACTCAAAAACTAGATGAAAACCAGATAACTAAAAATCTGCAGTAAGCACCATGTTTAATAGAGAAAGTTTATAGGCTTCCCAGTAGGATTAGAAAAGAACACCCATACTCACTATCACCACCACAGTTTAACACAGTTGGAGGCCTTAATTGATGCTACAAGAAAGTTTCAGAAGTCTAAGATGTGTCAGATTTGATAGCAAAGAGATAAAATGCTTTGTGTTTTGCACATGGACAACGTCCATAGAAAATCTAACAAAATCAACAATTCGTTAGAAAAAATAAGAAAGGGTGCTGGATAAAAAGTAAATCTTAAGAAACAGCATTCCCCCAAGAGCCAACTAGAAAAATAAGAGAAAATGGTACCACAGCTACGCACATACACATATATATGTATACATATACATACACAATTACATAAGATTTATATTTATATTTAATTATATTTTAATTTTTACCTTTAATTTTATATGAATAAATTATATATTATTATAATATGAATAGAAAATTTATATTGCTATATGTGAAAAGATGATACACATATACATTTATTCATACATATGCATCCACAATGATATTATTTACAATCATGTTTGTAGTCACAAATGCATTTGTAACAACACAAATATAAATGCAAATATATTTATAATCAATACTAGTACACATCAATTTACAACCACAAATACTGTATTTATATATACATATACATATGTATTATATCCACATATATGTGTATATGCAAATTTTTTTTTTTTTTTTTTGCAGTTTTTGGCCGGGGCAGGTTTGAACCCACCACCTCCAGTATCCATATAGGTCCGTACCCTACTTCTTGAGCCACAGGCACCGCCCTATGCAAATATTTTTGACTGTGAATGGTTTCATTTTTTGTGTGAAAGAGTATGGGTGGGTGGGGGAGTTTAATAAGATATATTTTTGGTCTTTGTCCCTCTCTCCTGGCACAGAGCTCCTTGACACTCCCAAACTTCCTTTGGAATTTCATGAGTAATTAGAATGGACTTTTGTAATTCTTCAGAGGCCAGTTTTGATCACCTCTGAGTTTATGCTAATGAGATCAGTTAGTATGGGGCCCCTAGATAGCTTAAGAATGGGACTGGTTATCCAGAAAAACCAACTGAATAAAGGCCTGGCTTCCATTTGTATGCTTTATAATAACTTTCATAACAAATCAAAATATGTGTTTCCTCACTAAGTTCTGTGAAGCATTCCAGCAAATTCAGACATGAGAATCCCCAGTTTATAGTTGGTTGGCATCAAAACTGAGGGTAGACTTGTAGGACTGAGTCCTTTAACTTGTGGGATTTGATGCTGTTAATAATTTCATGTAGATAGCATAACAATTGACTCAAACTGTAGAACACCCAGGTGTTGTTGGAAAATAGGTCAGTGTGGGAAAACACCCACACATCTAGTACACAGAAGGATTCTGTGTCAGTAGAGAAACTGCGTTTTTCTCAGAGTGAGTACATACATGTATATGTTTATATAATTTGTATATGTATTTAGGAAGCAACTTAATGACATATCACCTTTATGGAGAATATTTTAAAACTCTATTTACAGATATAAAGGAAAGTTTAAATAAAATATTTAATACTTAGAAAAATTAAATGTTAAATTAATGGAAAAATATTCCATATTCACCAATATTTGAAATCAGAGATTCTCCAGTTGATCTGTGCAATCCACACAAACCCACTTGAAACTCACATGGGAGTATAAAGAGCCATAGATAGCTAAATCAATCTGGAAAGAAGAGAATAAAGGAAAACCAAAGGTGGCAGGTAGGTGAGGAAGAGTTATGATATGAGATATTAACACCCACGATGGTAAAGTAATAAAAGCAATGTGACACTAGTATGAAAATAGACAAGGTTATGGGAGAATAAGGGTAAAAAGTAGACAGATGTCATATAAAAACCTGAGACATGATAAAGGTGAAACCACAAATCAAGGAAGAAAGAACCTTTATTTAGGTTAAAATATTGAGAAAACAAGTATATTGTATGGAAAAAAGAACCCTGATATCTATCTCCCTACAATATCTACATATAAACATGATTTGACGTGGTTTAAAGAATTTTATGTAAAAGATAAAGCTGCAAAGCTAGTAGGATAAAATTAAAGGGGAATGGTTTTTTAAATTAGTAAAATGGAAAAATGTTTAAAATTTGACTCCCTGTTTTAAATATACAAATCCTAAGACAAATAAAATATTATTAGATTTCATTATGAAAAATTCAGGATTTCACTTTATAAATGACATTGTGTAAAAGTTAGGAGACAGGCTAGGCTAAGGTAATTGTATCATGTAAACAATCTCACATTAATATCTATAATCTACACAATGATCCTCAAAATCACCAAGAAAAGGATAGGAAACATAATGAGGAAATGGACAAAAAACAAAAATAAAAATTTTGAAGCAGAAGCCTCAATAGCTAAAAAACAGTTTTGTTAGGTAGATAGGAAGGGACCTCTGGCTCTCCTGGGGACAAAGGCCAGCGCCCTGAGCAATTGCCACACCTGGGGGAGGCAGGGGAACACCCTGCCAATCTGCCAATCAGAACTTAGTGCACCAACTGCAAAAGAATGCAGCGGAAAGTTGCCACCCTAGCTGTCAGCTCAGATGGATAGGGTCTGGAAGGTGGCCTAGAGAAACCTAAGGCTAATAATTATCACGTCAGCTTAAATCTGCCTTGCAGTCCCCCACCCTGACAATAGGGCTTTCAGAGGCTCATGGGAGATCTGTGCATGAGGTGAAGACTCAGGTTATGTAACTTCCAATAGTCTATCAAAATAGTTTGATGGCGACATTTGAACCATGAGAGGGGCCCAGCCTAGTCATAAAATAGAACCCTAGACCCAAATTGGGGCCCTCCTTTTATGATATGGGCCCACTGGCTGGCTGTGGTGAATGTATCTTTGCCCAATAAGTATTTGACTTTTTATCTTGTGCTTGCCTTGTAGAGAGTGTGTCTGGTCATTCTTCAGACAAGAGCACACCAAGAGAGCAGATGGCTGACCGCTGACTGTCTAAGGAAAGGCTTAAGCTCCTTATCTCAGGAAATTAGATATTAACATAACAGTAAGCTGCCATTTTTCATTTATACCCATTGGAATGGTCAACACTAGAAAATTAGATAATTCCAAGTGTTAGTGACATATAAAGAGATAGGAACTCTCATGCAGAAAAAAAATATATAAGTACCTGCAGGGCTGAAGAATTTACCTATGCATGAAAAATCAAGTGACTTTGATGAAATAGGGGCTTTTCACAGCTTCACACTCTGCTGCCCTGTAGGTTGAACTCTAGGCACAGCTGCCAGACACTCACGCCTTACCTATCAAAATGACCATTTCATATGGCTTACCCTAAGATACAAATGCATCTCTTCTTGTGTAGTGAGAGGTACACTCATTTATCTCTAAAAAACAAGGAAGGAAAAAAGAGAAGGATAGAAAGGGAAATACCGACAGATGAACATTTATATTGCTAACTGTGCGAAATTCAACGATTAATGCACACCCCTTAATAAATGGCATGCTAGAGCACTGCGTCTTTAGATACTAGGTGCTCCAAGTGGCTTCCGTAGAAAAAAATTACCATGAAACATGACTAGAAAGAAATTTAAATCAAGAAAATAAGTCTTGTACCTCAGGAGAACCATATATCCAGGGATGGCAGCTAAAGAATAAATGAAACTGCTAATTGTTGACATAATCAGAAAGTACTGGAGCATCATGGAACAGTCATGTCCTTTGTCACACAGACCCAGAACCGCAGATGAGTTTCCTGACGTATGAATGCAGCTACAGTTTTGGAACACCTGTCAAAAACATAATATAGTATTCATATCATGGTTGCATTTCTGTTTGCTATGAATAAGCTTGCATTCAATAAAAAACAACCAGAAGCAAAATAATAAGAACAATATAGTATTCTATTTTAGCAAAAAAAAAAAGGTCTTAAACACAAATCTCAAATATTTTTGACAGAGCCCGTTGGATCAACATAGAGACGGCTCACTCCCTTTACCTCCACATCCTTTATGGTGTCTTTCAGGATTATAGCAATAAACAGAACATAGATGAATAGTCTCAGAAAAATGGGTAACTTGGTGTAAATATTTAGAGTAAATCTGCATTAACTACACCATTGTAAGAGCATGCTTTTGTAAAAAAAAAAAACAGATACTGTTGCTTTTTTTCCCACTTGGGCCCAGCAGAATGGCTCCCACCAACAAGGGTGGCAAGAAGAAGGGCCATTCTGATTCTGCCATCAACATGGTGGTGACTCAAGAATACACCATGGGATCACCTCTATGGCTTGTCTTATAAGGGCACAAGTGAATCTTTCTAAGAGTATAAATGTCTTAACACAATAACTAAGAAAATTGACAAAGTCTATGTTAACCAGTTTGATGAAAATATTTCAAATTGTATATGAAAACACCACAATGTACCCCATGATTGCATTAATGTACACAGCTATCATTTAATTTTAAAAAAAAGAAAGAAAGAAAGAAAAAAAAATACACCAACATTCGCAAGCACATCCATGGAGTGGGCTTCAGACCCTCAGGCACTCAAAGAGAACCAGAAATTTGCCATGAAAGAGATGGGAACCCCAGATGTGTGCATTGATACCAGGCTCAACAAAGCTATCTGGGCCAAAGGCATCAGGCTTGTTCCCATACCGTATCCATGTGCGGTTGTCCAGAAAATGTAATGAAGGTGAAGATTGACCCAGTAAGCTCTATACTGTGGTTACCTATGTACCTGTCACCACTTGCAAAAATCTACAGTCAACATGGATGAGACTAACTGGTGATTGTCAGATACATCAAATAAAGTTATAAAACCACACATACACACACACACACAAATACTGTTTTTCCACAACACTAAGTATGACAGCCAGGACTGTTTCACAGCACTCAGCTGAAGTATTTAAAGACTTAACAAAAAAAAAAAAAAAGCTTTGTTTCAAAAAATATAGTTTATTTCAAAAACAGAGTTTATTCAAACTTTTAAAAAATGTTACATCTTCAGGTCTTATTAAGAATCAAAATTTATAGTTTACTTTGGTCACCAAGTGACATTATAAGTATTGTGACATTTTAGAGGCAAGAAAATATTTCTAACTCCAACTTCTCAAAAAAAAAAAACTGTCAGTATGTAAAAACAGAAAGTGCACACATACATATACACAGGAAAAAATGCAGCAATTAGCTGAAAAATTGAAATAAAACTGTTAACTATCTTAATGACAAAAATATTTTAGTTTGGAGTATCTTGAACCCAAATTATTTTATAATAATCTAAACCACTAGAAGATACAAATCAGTGCAAACGTTTCACATGAAATCTAGGAATTAAGAGTGAATCAAGAGAGCATATAGAAAGTAAGTCATTTTTTCCACACAAAAATAATTAATTTGTTTTTAAGGAAAGGCCAATTTTATTTATAGTATTTGTAGGCCCAGTTCATAGTTTTAAAAGTCCTGTCAAAAGACAATAGGCTGTATTACCATGTTTATTCCTGCTCCAACAGATGTTTCACAACCAGCAAGACAAGCCGACATATATGACAAGCCATTGGCTCCACACACAGGGTCCCATGTTTTAGTTGGACAGTTGCAATCCATATTACAGGCAGCAAGGATGTCACTTCCCACATATAAATCTTTTGGAATTCTGAAATGATTTCAAATAATGTCATGGATATTGAAAAGCTAGTCAAACATATTCTTCTTAGCAAAGTATCTCAAGAATGGAAGAAAAGTATCCAATGTACTCAGCCCTACTATGAAACTAATTTATGGCTTTCATATGAAAGCTATAACCCAGTTATAGCCCAAGAATATGGGGAAAGGGGAGAGGAGGGGGGGGAAGTATGGCTGGAGGGAGGGTGATTGGTGGGACCACATCTATGGTTCATCTTACAGGGGTACATGTGAATCTTTCTAAATGTAGAATATAAATGTCTTAACACAATAACTAAGAAAATGCCATGAAGGCTATGTTAACCAGGTGATGGAAATATTTCAAATTGTATATAAAACCAGCACATTATACCTCATGACTGTATTAATGTACACAGCTATGATTTAAAAAGAAAGAAAAGAAAAGAAAAGAAAAGAAAAGAAAAGAAAAGAAAAGAAAGAAAGAAAGAAAGAAAGAAAGAAAGAAAGAAAAGAGAAAAGAAAGAAAAGAAAGAAAGAAAAAAAAGAAAGAAAGAAAAAAGCTGGTCAAGCTTTTTTAAAAATCCCTTTCATTTCAAATGCCAATTGTATTTCCTTTCCTTCCCAAAATAGAAATAGAAACCTTCCAACCCTCAGTGTGTGATCTGGATACTCTAGCTCTGGTAGGAAAGATAAATGGTTCACACAGCCATGTTTTCAATGATTTGTTTCTGAAAAAACGTGTAGGCAATAAACAAGCATTAACTGAGTGCCTACGGCATGAGAGGCATTTTTCCCAATACTATTAGAACTCAAATATGGGGATAACTTAATCTCATGAGGTGGAAAGTAACAAAAGAGAGCTAACTTGAAGATCAAAATCTGCAAGTCCCGTTTATCATGTGGATTATACATTTAGCTCCAGCAACATAGGTCCTTAAGTTAGACAAATACTTTCCCGCTAGTATAAAAAGTGCCCAGCACTTGTAATGTGACTGAAGTCTCAAAATTGAATTCAAATCTTAACTCCATGACTAGGTCCAGTGTGACTTTCTACACATTTTCTTTGTGACCCGGTGTGATTGGAAATGGAGAAAATCTTTAAATTCTTTACAATTTAAATGCCATGTTGCTATATTGATGTTACAGAAGAGCTCTGACATGAACTCCCTTTATCACTGAATCTCTCTGAATCTCAATGTCTTCATCCATAAACTAGAGATTCTAATAATGCCCATCTCCAATGGAACTGGCAAGACTCAAATCAGATGATGTATATAAAATTAATTTGTGATTTTATATTTGAAATTGTTGTACTCTTACAATCCTTGATGCTTTTGAAAGAACATTTTAGGGTGTTCTTCATTTCATTTTAACTGATGGCTCTATTGTCTAAATATGCCCTAGAAGTGAATTTTAAAAATTTACATCACTGTGGAAAACCTTTCAATAAATCCAGATAGTTCTCAAAATATATAATTTAAAAGTATCCAGTACTTTGATATAACTATACAAAAGAAATATATGAATTTATATATTAATGATATATGTATTAGAATTCAGTTATACTAAATTGGAAACACATAAAGCCTATTTAGACTGCATAATCAACTCTTAATTTTTCCTTTGTATAGGACTGTAAAATATATGGCTAACATATACTAATGTGACCTTAAAACTATAGGCAGTTTCTTTGATAAGCACTTCAATGTCCACAAGCATATCACAAATACAACCACACAAACACATACATATAAAATCATAAACTCACCCTGTGATATTCTCCCAACCTCTTTACTAAGCCTAGAGCTTGAATGGATTGGGTCAAGATTGACAGATGGAAGAAAGATATAGGAAGACCAGGAATCACTGCCTTTAATTCTAAGAAGCAGATGATCCAACCATTGTAGAAAATATACTATTAATTGTTCATTGAAAGAGTGTGACATTCATTAGAAAACAACATACCCTTCATAAGAGGTAGTTATGCCAGCAACTGGTGAATTATCACATGTCATGAAAAAACTTAAAAAATAGAGAAGATACTCAAGTAAGGATAACCAACATCCTATGTGGGCAGCTTGTTTGACAGTGATCTTGAACTTCTTCATAATTAAACCACCAACAATATATCCAATGCATATTGGAGGTAAGTTATAAATACCTATAAATGCAAAGTGGCTTATTAGAAAAACAAACAAGTATGTTATCACTTTTATCTAACATATCTTATACATAAGAAACTATTTACATCCAACTCATAGTGAAAAATGATAATTTAATTTGATCCCCACCTAGCTACGTATATACAAGGACATTTTGAAATGCCCCATAATGGTAGAGAATATTTTGGAAGACTGTTAATATTGTCATTCATTTAATTAATCATAGCAGGGTATTAATTTCTTGTAGGTCGAGATCACGACCAATATCTCTTTTTCTAGTTTATAGCTAGGAATGGCAAAGTTGGCCAATAACATATTAATTTTTTATTCTCCATTCTGTAGGATGTATTTATTCCCCCTCCAGTTGTTTAGAGTTTGACTCATCTCAAGGTACTTTATAGAGTCACTTTGCTGAGCCTGTTGCTGTCAGTGTATAAACATGTCACTGACCAGCCTGCTTCCTCTCTCAACCCTCCCCCAGTTAAAGAAAGAAAAAGGAAAAGACAGCCCCATGTTGCATTCATACAATGGCAGCACCTGGCTCACTGAATCACATTTTAGGGACAGTTGTTTAAAATCCATTCCAGACCCCCACACTATAGTCTGATTTAGTGTGTCATAACTGAGGGGGTCCCATGTATCAGAACTTTTCACAAACACTCTAGGTAATATGGACTCAAGTAGCCAGGGATATTGATGTTTCAAAGCAATGGAATGGGCTCAGCACCCATAGCACAGGGGTTACAGCGCTGGCCACATGCACCAAGGCTAGCAGGTTTGAACCCAGCCCAGGCCGGCTAAACAACAATGACAACTGCAACAAAAAAATAGCCAGGCGTCAGGCGGGCACCTGTACTCCCAGACAGTTGGTAGGCTGAGGCAAGAGACTTGCTTAAGCCCAAGGGTTTGAGGTTACTGTGAGCTGTGACACCACAGCACTCTACTGAGGGTGACACAGTGAGACTCAGTCTCAAAAAAAAAAAAAAAA